GGGCTGGCCCTTATTACTGTCTTCTTTGTAAATGTATTTGTCTAGATTCTAACATTTTGCCTTTTAATTTTGTGGTACTCTATGTCATACAAATATTCCATTTTTATAGAGCTGAACATATCTTTTGGATTTTTGTGTTCACCCAGAATTTCTTCCCTACTTTCAGATTATACACATAGTTACCTAAAAATTCTTCTAAATTATCTATTTACTTATTTTACATTAAGTCTTTAATCTATACAAAATTTGTCTTGTACACAGTATGAAATAGGGGTTTAATTGTTTTCCTAATGATATAAAATATCTTTATCATATATTAAGTTATCAAATATAATAAAATTTTTTTCTAAATTCTCTATTCTAGTGCCTTTTATACCACAGGTATCAGTACTATCTGTTGCTTGTGAAATCAATTTAGTAGGCTTATTAGGCATTTTTTAAAATATAAAATAGAATAGAAAAAGAAAATATCAGAGTGTATCATATGTAACGAGAGTAAATGTTTCATAAAGGTTTTATTTTTGCTTTTTAACACACACACATAAACATACACATTAAGAGTCATTATGTAGGTGATATGTATTTCTTATTGTGAACTATAACCAATAAAGTTTGAAATCCATTCCTCCAGTATGTTCTATTGGTCTGTTAGTCTATTCCTTTGTCCATACCATGTTTATCTGATTATAGTTTCTTTAATGCTCTGGTACCTAGTAGGGCAAGTGCCTCTCTCTTTTATTTACTTTCTTTCGTTATTCATGGATATCTGTTCTTCTCCATAAATCATGTGGTCAATTTTTCCTAACCTTTGAAAAAAAAACTTGTTTGCATTCTAATTAGAATTGCTAGTTTGGGAGAATTTATACTTTTACGATATTGTTTCTCTCTCTCCACCATCAAGTATTTGGTATGTCTTCTTGTTCCTGATATATGGCATGTATCCATGGCGCTTATTATATAGGTCCTATGGTTTACTTGTTAAATTTAATTGTGAGTATTTTATCATTCTTCTCAGTGTTGTGACAGAAAAAATTTTCCCCATTCCGTTTCTGTGTGTTTATTACAAATACAGAGAAGCAATCAGTTTTATTTAGCTTCTATCTGGCTACTCACCAGATTATCTTATAAATTCTATCGTTTAAAACCTAACTCTCTTAGGTTTCCTAGATATACAATCATATTTGCTAGAAAAATTTACCCTATTTACCCTAGAAAAATGGTAAACAATTTGCCAGTATAAAATGGCAATAATGAGAATCCTAACTAACTCCTGATTGTAAAAATCAGTTTAAGTTTGAAGAAATGAATTACTAAAATGACTGAGACTCATTCCTCTCTCTCCTGTTTCTCTAGTTGCTCATCATATTATAGCCCCATCCCTGTTCCTCCCCCAAAAGCCTCCATCTTCCTGCAGCTTCTAAATTGTGCTACTAGTGAGAATCCCTGGCTTGTGATACCTGGGTGGTAGGGGACAGAGGAGATCCTGGCTTCAAGGTACTGTAAAAATACATATCCATCCATTCACATATATGCATACATGGCATAAAGCAAGCTGCTGAAAGGGATATCAAGAAATCAAGAATGCCCAAAAACATAATCAAATAGGATATATAAGACATGCAAATAAATAACTTTATTTCAAGTAGAAAAGACACCTGCTCCAAAACAGGCATAAGTAAAGTATAATGCAAGATTATTTCTCATAAAAGTAGTTACAGGTAAAGGTTAGTTATATACTACAATAATGCCATAATTTAGATATATGTATAGATCAAAAAGCTTTTGTGGAATTGCCTGAACCTAATTATCACATGTATTACTATATTCTTAGAGGAAAAGTGGTTTTCAAATAATCCACTGAGACGTGAACTTCTGGCAACATAATTCATTTGTTTCTTAAAGACCACTTGGATAAGTCAATGGTAATAGTCTCTAAGTTTTAGTACTGTCAAAAAGAGAAATAAAATGAATAGATGAAGATCCTGGTATTAACAACCACCTTTCCTGACTACTCCTTAATTGAGAACAGAATTAATTTGATTCAATAAAAACAAAAATAAAATAAATTCCTATCATGCAAGATTTCTTAAAGATTGAAATTTTATAAAATTGGCACTATAGAATTTTAATTATTTTTGTTATAATTCAGTGTTTAAAACAATACAGTCTCTCATGCTGCCAAAAAAAAAAAAAATCACAATCTAAAATTCTCATCAGGGTCAAAAATTTACATCTTTGAATTTACACAGTGTACAGTAGCAAACCACAGCTGTTACATAAACCACATGGTTTATTGGTTCACTCATGCTATAAAAATATTACTGACATTTCATCTGGTCAACCATCTTAAAGGTTAATTCTTGTTTCCTCTTTTGGATTTTATTCTAGGTGAACAGTTCTGGGCAGATTCTATTTACCTATTCAGAACAAACCACAGACTGTTTCACTGCTCACTCTTACTGTTAAGAACATATTGACTTGCTGCCTGCTCTGCTGTTTAATTCATTTATGCTGAGAGTCAGGCATGAAGACAGAATTTTAAATGTGACATTTGCAGACTGTTAGGTCATTTCAGCTCTGACAACACTAGGGAATTCCTGACATATAAACTGGACCTGATTACCAAGCACAGATGAGCTTCCCAAATGGGCAAATTCCAGATCGTTTTTATAGTTTGTAATACTAAATTTTAATGTCAAATGAAAAGATCTATATAGCCAACATTTTAAAGTAAACCCTGTCTCTTTTAATAAGCTTAAAATGGCACCACTTCTACTCAACCCGTATCAGCTAAATAAAAACTCTTTTGATTGAAAAAGACATATGGAAAGACTCACAATAACAATTAACATTGATAACAATTTGGAGAAATTCTGACATTTAAAGGCTTTTAATATTACAATCAGTAAGGCTCTGAAAAATCTGCTAGGTCTAAAGGCTATAACTCTAGTTAACAGACCACTTAAAATTATTAGATTCTGGCCCAGCAGGGCAGAGGCTATATGCTGTCAAAATTACAGTACAAAGTCTAAGCTTAAATACTTAACAACACTGCCTTCTCTAAGATTACATTTATGTAGAAGGGATGGTAGAGCCCTTATAATTGGAAATGAACAAATTGCCCACATGATGTGTAGAATTAGACTTTACAAGGGTTGATAATGGGATGGGGGGGGAAGAAGTAGGGCAAGATTGTTTTCTCTTTCTAGCTACTCCAAAAAATTACACCAAATGATATTTTTTCAGCTCTTTTTACTTGTCACTAACAAGTACTATGCACACTGGTTCAAAATGAAAGTTTTCTAAAATTAAGTTTTGTTGTTAAGTAATGCACTAAAGATAATTCTGATCTTACCCTGTATTTCATATAAGTAAGAATTCTAATGTTAACACAGCAAGTAGCCTTTTAATGTTGTGCTTTGAATGAGACTTTCACCTGTAAGAGATGTAGTCTAAATAGGGACAGATGGCTTGGAATGCCTTTCAGCTATAGCACATTGATTCTGAAAAACCTAACAAAAGCAATTACTTTTCAGAGATTAAAAATCTTGTTTCTTTCAAAAGAATAAAATGGAAAGCAAACCTGGTGTATTATCTGAGCTACAGGAAATTGATCAGCATATTTCAGAGGTTCCATTGGTTCTTCATCCATCTCGTCTTCCTTATAGCTGAAAAAAAGGAATTAAAAAACACAAAGCTAAGGTAAATATTATTTCAAATATGGCAAATATTTAAGTATGCCAAATATGAAATATATTAAAACGTATATATATAATGTGAGTTTTTGAAATAACAATCTCTGAAAAACCACCTAGTGGAAAATTTTAAATATGACTATAAATGTATTTAGACTGCACTTAATTATACGTAATAAGATTAACTAACATCACCTAATGTTCTCAGAGCCCGTCATTCATTCTGAGACTTCAAAATGTTTCAGAACTCTCTGTTCATACAGGGTGCTTTTTAACAGTCTTCAAAACTGAGCTCCAAACACATTCGACCCCCTTCTCTACGTAGCCATCTACTGTTTCAGACATATCCAACTACTGGCCACCCCACAGTGGGCCTCGCACCTCCAGGACTCTCTTACTTTCTCCATGTTGTTACATGATTGTAAAAATCACCAATTCTCTTCTTTGTCTATTCTTTTAAATATATTAATGTGTTTATACCCATCTAGGTACATTTTTTTTTACCTCCTTGAAGATAAAAATCATGTCTTATTCTTCTTTGTACATCCAATGTTTACCATATAATAAAGACTCAAATGTTGAGTGAACGTATGAATATATGAATAAAAATGAAACAAAACAACTCTTTGAGAGGTTATTTTATACAGAAAACATTTTCTTTAATATTTACATTTATAATGAGATGCAAAACTGACATAATGCATAACTGATACAATATAAAATAGTAAAATGCAGAAATAAGAACAAAAAATAAAATCTTCCCAAATGAAAAAAATTTGATGAAATGCTTTTTTTTTTTTCCCCCCTTTTTTTTGGTCTTTTTTCCGTGTCCGGCAACGGATCACAACCCTCAGTGTCGCGCCCGCACCGGACCGGGACCGGCAACGGGATCGCAACCCTCGGTGTCGCGCCCGCACCTCGCTCAACCAGTGAGCGGGAACCGGTCTGTATGTGGGATCCGAACCCTCGGCGGAAGCGCCGCCACCCTCCCAAGCGGCGCACTATAGCAGTGCGCCACCAGGCCGGCCCCTTGATGAAATGTTTTTAGAAATTATTAACCCTCTTAGAAATAGCAAATAAACATTAGATTTCAAGACAATAAGACCTAAACATATTTAAACTTCCTTTTACCTTTATCAACTTATCAACTTGAAAACTAAAATTTAAAAACCTAAACTTTGAATTATCTTCAAAAATAAGCTAACTCAATTCAGGGGAGCTGAAGATTCTCACTAATGATGAAAGTGAAAAACTGTCTCAAACATTACTTTTCACAGAGGCATAAAGGAGAATGGTGGTGGCCAGGGGCTGGAGGAAGAGACAATGGGGAGTTATTATTTAATAGGTAGTTTCAGTTTGCAAGATGAAAAATGTTCTGGAAATGGATGGTAGTGATGATTATACAATAATGAAAACATACTTAATGCCACTGAACTGTATAGTTAAAATGGTAAATTTTATGATATATACCCGTTATGGGCCGAATTCTGCCCCCCACCACAAAATTCACATTTTGAAGCACTAACCCCCAGTACCTCAGAATGTGACTGTGTTTGTAGACAGGGTCTTTAAAATGATAATTAAGGTTAAATGAGGTCATTAGGGTAGGCCCTAGTGACCTCATTTATGTTGCGTAAGCCACCCAGTCTGTGGTACTTAGTTATGACAGCCCTAGCAAACTAATACAGCAAAATTTTAATTATTTTACCACAATTAAAAATAAACTAAAATAAATTGACCAAAAAAAAAAAAGCTTTAAAGCATTTTACAATGTATATTTAAAAAGTCTACTCACATTATGTATAAAAAACACATATATAGCCACAAAAGAAAAAAATTAATTGGACATCACCAAATTTTAAAACTTTTTTGTTTCCAAAGACACCATCAAGAAATGAAAAAACCTACGGAACGGGAGAAAATTTTTGCAAATCGTTTATGTGAAAATGGACTTTCATCAAGAATAAGAGGGTACTTCAAAAAGTTCATGGAAAGATTTGTATTATCTTTTCATTCCATTTTTTAACAAACTTTTTGAAGTACTCATATATAAACATTACAATGCAATAAAAAAAGACAACTAAAAAATTTTCCTTTCTTATTAAGAACATTCTTAAGTGAAAGTGATATACTTTTGTTTCTTTCTTTTTTACTGTGGTCTATGGTGGAAAGAATGCAGTGACTACTTGTGCAGTTTGGTGCTACTGCCTTGATTCCTGTTAAGGTGTCAGCAGTTTAGTAAATATGTGCCAAAAAAATGAAAGAAGTAATTCTAAGACAGTAATTCTAAGAGTACACAGAAATATGAAAAAGCCACTCTTCATCTGTTAGTCCAAAAATCTAAATAAAGTAACAACGTATAAGATGAAATACATTTTACTTACAAAATGTCTCTCAGTCAATATAAAAGAGATTTCTTTGGGTATACAAAAATATTTGAAATCTGGCAATTTGTTTTGAGTAACTTTTTAAAATGCCAAGTAGTTATAAAAAATTCCAAACACATTTCTGTATTTTATTTTTACAGTATTTGCTGAACCATCTGAAAGTAAGTTGCAGATACTGCGACAGTTTACATCTAAATATGTCAGCATTTAACAACCAAGGATATTTATTGTATTAGTCAGGGTTCTCCAGAAAGTCAGAATCAATAAAATATGTATATAAAAATATGAGAGGGGATTTATTAGGGGACTTGGCCCACTCGATTGTGAAGGCTGAGGAGTCCCACAATAGGACATTTGCAAACTAGATGCTGATAGCATGACTCTGTCCAAGTCCAGGAGCCTCAGAACCAGGGAAGCCATTGGTGTGATTCTCAGTCCAAAGCCAAAGGCCTGAGAGACAGGGATGCCACTGGTATAAATCCTGGAACCCAAAGGCTGAAGAGTCTCAAGTTCCAATGTCCACAAACAGCAGAGAAGAGTGTATCCCAGCTCCAACAGATAGAGAGACTGGACTTCTCCTCCATTTTCATCCTCTCCAGGCCCCCACCAAATAGCAAATAGGATAGTGTCTGTCTGTATTGAGGATGGATCCTTCCCACCTAGTCCACTCAGGCCTCTTCTGAAAATACCCTCATAGACACACCCTAAAAAATTGCTTTACCAGGTTTCTAGGTATTCCTTAATCTGATCTGACACCTAAATTAACCATTACAGATATATGTGAAATTTTTCTTCATAACTATGGCATTTTTTCAAAGTCACTAAAAGTGTAACTCACAAGTAATCTTAGGTATCACTATAGACATAGCAGTTTTTTTACTTATTCAATGTTTCACAACCAATTAAAATAATTACTCATTTTTAATTTCTTGGAAATGTTTGTTAATGTGTTAATGTGATGAAGTATGATGCCAAGTTGATTTTTCTTTCCATTTTAATTATTTTCATTTTTAATGCATTTTTAATTTTAAATTACATGTTTTTTGGCTTGGCAGCTCAGACAGTCAAGTTCTTCCCTTTTATTTTAAGTTCTAATCCTAGCATATCTTAAGAGTTGGTTGTTCTAGATCAATTCTCCCAGGTACACAGGAGACAGGAGTCATTTCAATATAGATATTCAGATCTCACTTTATTTCAGAAAAGTTTATTATAATTTTAAATATTTTTCTGTTCATTTTCCATTCATTTTTCTAGCTCAAGGCATTGAACTAAATACATTGGATGTTTTTCTATCACTTTCTCTTTCTTTTTCTCATTTTAATTTCATTTTCTTGACTCCTTTTCATTTCTATTCTTTATGTCCCTTACTGAATGTTTGATAGTATCTATCTTCTCTTGGGTACCTTGCAATTTAGTTTTCATTCCTAAGATGATTTTTGTCTTTTTTATTGTCAGTTTCTTCCCAGAGTTCAGTCAGCTCCTGTTTCACAAATCTTCCTATTGTATGTCCATTTCAATTGTGAGTTTTTGAATGTCTGACTCAGGGTGTCCTTTTATAATGCAATTGCCTGTTCAATACACGCTATTCACATCTGAGTGTTCATTCCAGTTTTCCTCTGTTTTGTGGTTTTTCTTTCCTTCCTTTTTATTTTTGATTTCATTCAGTGTGTGTAGGTGCATACCATTTACTGAGTTCTGATTTAATTTTCTGTTCTATTCTTAGAGTAACTTTGTACAGATACTGGCTTCTTTTTCTGTTGAGGATTATTCAGGACCAGCAATAGCAAGTTATCTTGTGACAGGAGAGAAACAAGATAAGTTTGCCTATTAGGTTTCTCAGTTCAAGAGCACCCTCTTCTGTGGCTACAATGAAGTGTAGTTTCTTTAATAAATGGTACTTTGTTTTGGGGGGAGGGACAGAATTTGCTGCTTTTTCAAAAAAATATTATGTTGTTTCCATAGGGCCCTTATCTTCAGCTATCTTCTGTCCCTTCACCACCAAGACTCGAAGGGACACCTCACTCTCACCCTACCCCTTGCAAGGTGTCTTCCATTATCCCAGAATTAGTGCTTTCCCAATACTGTCACATAAGGTCATCTATACTTTCTAAGCCCCAAGTCTCAAATCATCATTAACCAGGGCTCTGATCAACCACAGTCCATGCTTACAATTCAGAAAGAGAAAACTACAAATATTAATTTTAATTTACATGTGGTTGCCATCCTAAGGGAACCTAGACTTTTTCTCTTGCAAAATGGTAAAGTTCTCTTGCTTTTTCTTTGTTTTTTTTAAATATTTATTTTTTTTCAATATACAATGTGGTTGATTATTGTTGCCCATTACCGCAACCTCCCTCCCTCCTCCCTCTCCCCCCTCCCACCCAACAATGTCCTTTCTGTTTGCTTGTCGTACCAACTTCAAGGAATTGTAGTTGTTATGTCTTCTTCCCCGCCCCCCGGTTTTTTTGTGTTTGTGTGTGTGAATTTATTTATTTATTTTTAGCTCCCACCAATAAGTGAGAACATGTGGTATTTCTCTTTCTGTGCCTGACTTGTTTCACTTAATATAATTCTCTCAAGGTCCAT